AGGGGGGAATCTTTTTAATCACAAAAGGCTCCATAAGCCAGCAGCTTTCCAACTTTGATTATGATCCATAGTAAGAAATACATTTTACATCCTGTGTGGACATACCCGAAATAGTATGTACCCTTACTATTTCTATTTTAGTCTATTGTCTGCTATTATGCTCCATTGAAAAAATATTGGTCAAAATACATCCACTAACGGGTCAAGACTTAGTTTGAAAAGCAGCCCTCTGTGAAAATGGGGATTGAGCCCCAGCCAGGTAGCTCAGTTGGTTAGAGCGTCGTCCTGATAGGCCAAGGTTGTGGGTTCCATCCCCAGTCAGGGGACATACAAGAAGCAACCAATGATGCATAAATAAGTGGAACAACAAATCTCTCTCTCCCCCTATTCCTTCCTCTTTCTAAAATCAATAAATAACATTTAAAAAAAATGGGCATGGCTCTCTTTCTTTCTCTCTCCCAAATCTCTCTCTTACTGGCGGACGCGGCTCTAATCATCTTCCTTCACCCTGGGGCTCCCGAGTCCATATTTAAGGAGGAGATGTCGGGAGGCGCGGGTTTTCTCTGAGATGTACAATCTAAAATATCCTATCATGTGTTAAGCCATGAGTTTGGGTTGGGAGCGCGTGGTCTCACGCAGTCAGCGTTCTTTGCCCCAGGAGCAAACGGGTGAAGCCTGACTCCAGGGAAAGGGACAGACACTCAGAGGTGGCGCCCTCCCTGCGGCTGTTCTCAGGCCGAGCACGCGTCTGTCTCTCGTGGCCACTTCCCATGGCGCTCCTCTCGCCGTGCTGGCCGAATGGCTCGGTGAGAAAGAGGCAGTGGAGCCCTCCCAAACCTGGAATTTCGGTTTGGTGGCCTGGGCAGCGATCCCTCCCCATTCCTCCCCTCGGCCTGCCCCCTGCTGGGTTCTGCTGGGTCAGCTGACGGTGGTTTGGCAGTAAAGAGACTGGCTGGGTTGAGAGCAGAGTGGGGAGGGGCTGCCGGGGAAGACAGGGGGCCACATGAGGGCTGCACAGCCTGGCTCCAGGGTTTGGCCAGGGAAAGGAGTGTAGACCAGGTCCTAGAGAAGACGAGGGTCAGCTTTGGTGTGTGTGTGAACGGGCTCAAGACCGTGTTAAGGCGGGAGGATGGAGACGAGAGGATTGATGTAGGAAGGCAGAAGGTGGTGCAGGGGCCAAGAGGAAGAGCATCAAAAAGGCCCAAGTCATTTCTTTTAAGGGGAAGGAAACTCTCTTCTTCCTGCTCTCAGAGTTACTCAAGAATATAAAAGAACAATTACATTTTGTATTACATATGGGGTGTGGAGTGGGGAAAATGAAGAGCCTGCAGAGGAAGGGTCCTGAGAGGGGGAGATCGTTTGGCTAAGTTCAAGGGTGAGCCAGGAAATAGCTTGGGTAACAGCAGCCAGGCTTTTGGCTCCCTCCGGGGTTCCTAGAAGCTTATCCCAGGGTAGCCGAGTTACAGGAATAGTCAGTGATGTTAAGGCTAACACAAAAGGGGAACCTTCCCCAGCCCCTGGTCTTCCCAATATCCCTCTATACATCCCCATAAACTGCTACCCCAACAACCCAAGCCCTGAAATTCTTGATTTCATAAATAAATCTTTCCCAAAGTAACTGTAGCCCTAATGTTTCCCTTCCTCCTGGGCTCTCCATCTAATGGGACTTCAGTGGGGGCTTATACTGTTTCACTCCGCCCTCCTTCCTCAGTCTTCAGATGTAGGAGTTGATGGCTGAAGCTTGGTAGGCCAGGATGGGGTCCAGACTGTCTTTGAATGCCCTCAGTACGAAACTTGGTCCTGATTTGCAGTTTCCCTCCTTCGTCTGGTAACATTCATTCATTAGACTAATATCTAGAGAGTCTACTACATACCGGCACCGAGGATAGAAAATGTACAGCACCGAAAAGGTTTGTGTGCTCATGGAGCGTGCATACAGGCCCAGATTCAGGTGCCCTGGTTCCTAGTTTTCTAGTATCCGTTAGAGATGCTGGAACTTATAACCTCAAGTAAACTATTAAAGGAGATTCCTCCTTTATGAAATCACTAGGAATCAAGGTGAGGTTAACTTTCTTTTTTTTTTTTTTTTTTTTTTATTTTTACAGACTTAATG